TAGTGGTGGAACGATTCAGAGAAGGATCGTGGGGATGGTTGCTCAACATGAAGAATGTACTCAATTAGTGAACACCATGATGTGATATATCATAGATATTATAATTATACAGATATATGGAGGAGCCCTGGTGGTGTAGAGATTCCTCATTGGGCTGCGATCTTCATGGTTGGCAATTTGAAACCCCCAGTAGCTCCTCCAGAGAAACACTGGGCTCTCTATCCCCGTAAACAGTTACAGCCTCAGAAACCTACAGGGAGGGGATCACTATGAGTCAGCAATGACTCAATGGCACTGAGGTTATTTGGAATATGTAAATATATATATGTATTATGCATGCATACAAGGGGGTACCCACACACACACACAAAAAAAAACAACCAGAAAAAAACCTCCCCTGGGTGGACCTTTCTAGTACTCATTTTACCCACTAGGAGGGTATTGAGCAACTTGCTCTGAGTCAGTGCACCCAGTGGCGTCACCTGGGAAGGTTTTCTCTGGTCACAGTGAATTTTTTTATAAATGCAGTTTTGCTCAAACCTTGTTTTTTGTGAAGGCAGATTTCAGAGAACAGCGTGCACCTGTGTTATTTTGTTTACTGCGCTGGAAAAATGCCACAGAAACTGTTGTGATGCTGAACAGAGCTAACAAGGATCGTGCTATGGGAAAAACTCAAGTGTATGAGTGGTTTCAAAAAAGGAGAACTATCGATAACAAACCTTGTTCTGGACTTCCGTCAACTTCCCGAATAGACGAAATGGAGTTTGTTCCACCAGGTCAGACTGTTAATCCAGTGTTCTATTTAGAGGTGCTAAAAAGATTACATAGCAGTGGGACAAACAAGGCTTGATTTGTGGCAGACGGGGGACTGTTTTTGCCACCGCGACAATGCACCTGCTCACACAGCCAGTTTAGTTCACCAGCTTTTGGCAAAAAGCCCAGTATGCCTCTCTTGCCCCACGCACCAGACTCACTTGACCTTGCTCTATTCTACTTCTTTTTGTGTTTGGGAATGCAGAGGGACATGAAAGGACAATGATTTGATGAAGTACAAGAGGTGAAGAAAAGAATGAGGAGAGGTGCTGTCAGCCATCCAAACAGATGAGTTTGAAAAATGTTTCCAAGAATGGAATTACAGATTTGACAAGTGTATTAAGTGGTAAGGGAAAGTACTTTGAAGGTGATAGGGTTGTTCTGTAAAAAAATTTAAATAGATAGCTTTGAAAAAGACTTCTGATATTTTGGGGGTACCCCATCGTATGTGTATGCATATTTTACAACAATAAGAAGAAAATCTATTTGGGGGTTCATCTGATAGGATTTAATTACCTACGTGCTTAAGGATCTTGCAACAAAGCACACTGACATATGTGCATCCTCACACTTAACTCCGTGAATCTCTCAAGTTCAAGAAGCATCTGCCGAGGCTTCTGCTTCCAGGCAGGCTCGTCCGGGAACGCTAAGTGGTGAACTGGGTACATGTCAACCACACATCATGCTGAAGGCTCCCGGTACCATGGAGAGGAACCATCAATATTTGGTCTTCGTCCATCAGATCTGATTAGAAACGCGTCTTAAATGGGTTAGTAGGGGGATGGTATGATGGGGCTTCAAAGCGTTTGTGGAAAACAGAACCTCGTGATAATGGAATTTTTCTATGAATTGTGGGAGGCCCCCCATGCTACCGTCAAAAACACATGTTGGCTAACTCCAGGCGTCCTGGGAACCACCGAGGGCGACTCAATGGCTTAAGACAAATGTAGAAAGAAGGGAAAGAAGAGATAAAAAGGAGGAGGGACAGATTAGCAGTCACTGGGGTTGAAGCCACACAAAGAAAAGAAAAGAAAAGGTAGCGCATTCGACCTGTGTGCTGAAGAATGAAGAATGGCCGAGGCACAGGACTCAGGTTACTTTCCTGGGGTGTTTGCGTACGACCCTTGGTGGCATGCTGGTTACGCACAGTGGTCATTATGAATCGGCCTGACTTGATGGCAGTGAGTTTGGTTTTTTGGGCATTTGCATGGAGCTGATTTTCCTATAAGCCCTGGTGGCTTAGTGGATACAAATTGGACTTCTAACCTTAAAAGGTCAACTGTTTAGAACCATCAGCCACTCTGTGAGAGGAAAATGGGGCTTCCACTCCCATGAAGAGTTACGTTCTTGGAAACTGACAGGGACATTTCTGCCCTGTCCTGTGACGCTGCTGTGAGCCCACATGGACTCAGTGGCTGTTGGATTTGGGTTTGGTCCTTTTGATCCCTCTGTAAGTACCACTCAGAGTCTCCCCCGGCTTGCTCAGCAGCAAAGGAGAAGGGTGCTGTTGCAGAGACCAGGGCCCGAGAGAGTTCCTGACCCCAAGCCTTAGTTATCATCTACACAGGGAAATGTGCATCGGAGGTATGGGAGGCCTGGTGCAGACAGGGATGGAGAAGAAGACAAGGGGACACACACAGAAGGGTGCGGAGCATTATAGACCAGGGGCATAACAAGATAGGGACTAAGAAGCAGTGGTCACAGGGAAGGGGAGGGGACACACAAAAATGGAAGGTTTAACACACACAAATACAAATTTAAATGAACGAATAAAATGAAACTTGCTTCATCGAGGGGGAAAAAAATTCCTCCAGATTTCTTACCCCCTGTTCTAAATACTGGTCTGAGCGGCTTAAAAAGGAGGAAAAGTAAAACCGAAGTGGACTTGGAGTCTCTAGTGACATTCAAGTTCATTTCACATATAAAAAAGAAGTAGTGGACAGGGCCTCTCACTGCCAACAGGCCAATTCTGGCTCATAGTGACCCTATAGGGCAGGGCTAAACTGCCCCGGCGGGTTCCCAAGACTGTCACTCTTACAGGGGTAGAAAGCCTCATCTTTCTCCTGCAGAGTGGTTGGTGATTTTGAACTCATGGTTCACAGCCCAACTCCTAACCCGTTATGCCATGCAAACGCCTGTGGACAGGGTGAGGCTTTCTAAAGGCTTCAGTTGGCAGTGACAGAGGACAAGGAGGGAGCAGGACTATGCTTATGTTGCTCTGATGGCAGCCCAATGATCATCCTTAGATAAAAAGCACTCTCTGCCCCCTGCTGGGATCTCTCCTGGCCCCTTCCATCCTGCTTAAGCTGCACGGCCCTTCTCCCTGTTTTTTGACAAGACAGGAAGGCTTGGCCTCCAGGCCTCCCCGATGACTTCCCCTGGGATACGGGTGTCTGCTCAACTATCATCTGATCTGCGTCCAGAGCAGCTTCCGGCTGCAGCACCTCCCACGCTTACCTGTTGGGCTGTTTTCCCTTGTGCATGTTGTCACTGGACTTTTATTGATTGGTTGATTCTGTCTGTTTCCCCCAATAGGAAGTGAGCTCCATACAGCCAGATTTCATTGTGCTTATTTCTGTAGACTGCCCAGCACATGTAGGCCTCATCCAGTAGTTTTTGAGTGAGTACATGAACCAAATGCCCTAATATGTATGGAGCACAGAGTTCTATAGATTGAATTGTCTGGTGTTCCATGCTGCCCTCCCCACCAGGGCTGGAGTTGAGGTATGACATCATTGCCTTTGGGAACGAGTTGCTATATTCTGTGAAAATCCAGATTTGAGGCTCTGTTCCACGGGTTGTAGCGTTGTAGGTCAATCACACCTTTGTGCAGCCCCCTCCTTCCCTCACTGGGGCTGACCCTTGTCGCCAAGAGCACACTGCAGAAATGATGGAGTGTCGCTTCTAAGGCTGGGCCACCAGAAACACTGTGGGTTACACCTTTCTCTTTCTCAGACCACTCCTTCTGAAGATAGTGGCCGCCATGCTGTGAGGTTACTCCATCAATCCCTGGAGAGAGCATTATGGGAGGAACAGAGACTTCCCGACAATGTCAGCACCCTGGAAGCAGAGCCTTGAGCCCTAGTTGGTCTTTCCGGCGATATTGACCAAATGGCATTTGGGACTGCAACCTCCGGAGAAACCTCCCCCACAGCCCACAGCCAGAAGGACCTAGATCAGTGGCTTCCAAGTTCCTGACCTGTGAGTAATGGATGCTGCCTGTTCATCACTCTTTTTAAACCAAGACAGGGGTATTAGTAAGATCAAGTTTTAGAGAGACCTGTTAATACAAAGGAGGTGACTTGGGGGCCGCGGGGGCCTGGCTGGGTTGACAGGAATCTGTCTCAGTAGTATGGTACCTCCCACCACAGAGCTGGTTTCCCCAGCTTTATTTTCCCCGTTTTGATTCTGCAGCTCTCTGCAGCCACAACGGCCACCTGAATCCTCAATACACTTTATTGGGACACAAATAGACAAAACAGAAAATACAACACAGATACAGACTTTTTGTTTTCTTCTCTACAGGGAGAACAGACATCACACAGGGGGTTAAAAACAGAGTTCCTTGTGGGCCTCGCACTGAACACAGACGCAGGGTTTCGGAGGGAGAGGGGGCTACACAGGCCCTACAACGGAATTCACATTTGGTCGATGACAGGACACAGGTGTCCGGAGGGAGGGTGCCATTACTGCTGGGGGAACGGATGCTCACAACACTAGCAGGGTTCTGTTTAAAAAGAAGCCACAGTGTGTGTGTGTGTGGGGGGGGGGGACGCGCTGCCCCCCACGCAGATGCACGGCAAGCGGCTCAGCAGAAAGACTTAGCAGGTCTGTACCACCTCTACATTGTGTCCATGTCACCTCGGGCTGACGGGCACCCGTGGGTGGGTGGGTGCTGAGCGGTCGGTGCCACCCCCGCTGGGCATGCACACGCTTTGCAAGGCCACCGGGTTCGTAGCAGTGTCTCCCACCCTCCGGCCGCACCCGCCTGCCCACTTGGTCCGCCGGCCACAGGCCAAGCAGCACCGGGTCTCGAGAGATGGTCCGGCCTCCATCCACGCTGCCATGGCAACCACCCACTCCCTCCTGTCCCGGGCACTCGTCCGGCCCCCACACCATCTTCACACGCCAGCCTGGCTTTGCCCTAAGCAACCTCCGCATTTAGTAAAAAATGGTTTCCACTGTACCCTTCGTGTGTCCTCTTCCCAACGTGACGAATCCAGAGGAGATGAAGTTATGGAGGTCCGGCCCGCCGCCACCGCGGTAAGCGTCCTTGCCGTAATGCCCTGCAAGAAAACGGAGCGGGGTTACCTGGCGCCTCCAGGGCATCCGCACTGAAGAGGCGGGCCAGCCTCACCCAGCGATGGCCACGCATCTCCTTTCCCGTAGACAGATCAGAGCAAAATAGACAACCACAAAAGCAAAGGACCCGTCAAACTCAAACTCATCCCCATCTAGTGCAGCGGTTCTCAACCTGTGGGTCGAGACCCCTTTGTAGATCGAACGACCCTTTCCCAGGGGTTGCCTAAGACCATCGGAAAACAGGTTTCCGATGGTCTTAGGGACTGAGACAGCGCTCCTCTATCCGTGTCTCCAGGCAGGTCCGCCCACATGCAGATCCTCCCACATAGGAGGACCAGGTGTGAAGATTGTTACCCATGCTACACCATGCTTCCAGACAACATTTCACTTATTTGTCATTAGAAATACATATTTCACAATATATAATTACATATTGTTTTGTGATGAATCACTATGCTTTAATGATGTTCAATTTGTAACAATGAAAATACATCCTGCATATAAGATATTTGCAGAAGGATTTGTAACAGTAGCAAAATGACAGTGATGAAGTAGCAACAAGAATAATGTTATGGTTAGGGGGGGTCACCACCTCCTGAGGAACTGTCTGAAAGGGTCGGGGCATGAAGAAGGCTGAGCACCACTGCCCTAGGGACACTGGGTTTTTGAGATGGTAGCTGTTTCCAGGCAGAGAAAGCCTCGTCTTTATCCATGGAGCAGCTGGGGGTTTCCAACCACTGATGTTGCAGCGAACAGTCCAATGCACAAAACCGACTATGTGTCACCAGGGATCCTTCACTGCCTTCCGTCGTCAGCGGGGGAAATATGTATGTACATACATATTTGTACACACATATGTACACACACACACACACACACACAGTTAGTGATGTGTTGTTTAACATCCACCATGCGTGTTCTAAGAAACCTTCTGTGTCCAAAATCATTCTGTGATTTGGATATGGTGCAGACAATATATTGTATACATAAGCAGTACCTGGAATACAAACTAACTCCATTCATAATTGTCAGTAAGTTGGAATTTTACATCAGTTGGGACAGGTAGGTGCGGTTCTATCTAACGTCAGTTATCAGTTATTTGCCTTAGTATACACAATATATAGACATGCAAGGGTACACAGTATATGGTACCTTCTGTGCATAGAAAGCTTTGAAGAATCACTCCTAACTACACTAACAATCTGTAATATAATAATAAAAATGATGTTCTGACGTGTGTCATAAAGCAGCATTCACTGTTATGAACCATTGCATGTACCTCAAGTCTTTCCTATAATAGGCTTTGTGGGGGTTGGGACCCCAAAACTATATTTAATCAGGCATTGCCCAAAGGGATGTTACATGCAACATCACTAGGTAGTACTGGAGGAGGCACAGTGGTTCAGTGGGAGAACGCTCGCCTTCAGGATGGCAGGGTTAGATTTCATTCCCAGGCAGTGCCCCTCCTGTGCAGTCACCACAGACCGTCAGTGGCAGCTTGTGTGTTGCTATGGATGCCTCAGCTTCCCGCAGAGCTTCCAGACTCAGATGAGCAATGAAGCAATGCCTGGGTATCGACTTCTGAAAACCAGGCAGCGAGCACCCTGGGTGTACAACAATGTCCAACCTACAACTGACGAGCCCCCTGGGTGTACAATAATGTCCAACCTACAACTGACGAGCCCCCTGGGTGTACAACAATGTCCAACCTACAACTGACGAGC